TCCGACTTTCGCGTCTTTGCATTGACTTTGACTGTAATCAGTCGTGCGAAAAATTCGTTTCGCGTCCAGTGTGCAAGCGGCTTTACTGAGCATAGAACGCAAGCATTATAGGCAGTTTGTGGTTGGCTGAGAAAGATGTGAAGTCGTGAGTTTGCATCACAGATTCAGCTGCGTTGATTAAGCCAGGTGGAGTTTCCATTACGCGTGCCAACCGCCTTTAATCTGACATCAGGACAATCGATATAGATACTATAATTTATGTCCTGATTCAGATAGTTACATTAAATAGTGGTTGCTGTAATTATTTGAAGAGGTTGTTTCCAAAACGCAATATATCCATTTTACTCATTTTGAGTAAATCAGCTTTTTATATGTTAGTGCCAATTGCATCTTATAGAAAAACACAAACTTTGACCATGAAAAAATACACATTAAAATATGAATTTGTAAAAATCGATGTTTGCACCATATGTAAGAAGCACAGGGCTCCCGCTCTATAGTATTATCTCAATTTTTGTCATTTTGGCCTTTAAAGCGTTTTGGAAACAAACTCTTCATTTATTGCATTGAAATGTGCCTGACATTCTGGAAACCTGCCTGTGAGGTTTCGGTGACGTGTGCGCACTGTGCGCCGGTCAGCCAAATTACCACTGCACAGAAAGTAAACCAGGTTGGAGCTGGCGAGCTTTCTGCGCAACTTCAGCAAAGACTTTTTCTACGAAATTGTCACTGCGTCTTGATGAGTATGTGACACCTCTCCCTACTACGCCGCCACACCCATCTCTGCGCACGTCCGTCTACCAAATTGCCGAAGTGGCTGCGCACGGTGTTGCACCGCACGAAATTACCACTGCGCAGGCTGCACCGGACGAAATTACCACTGCGTGGGCTGCGCCACGCTACGCCACGCTGCTCCACCCTGCGCTGCGACAAGAAATTAGAGCCCCAGGTGTGTAAGTGAGATTAAAAGGAGGATTGCACTAGCTAAATCAGCCTTTTCAAAGCTGGAGAAAATCCTAAGAAACAGGACACTAGGAATTGAGACTCAGTTAAGAGTACTTAAGAGCCATTCCACGAGAGATTGACATTCGGTGTGCAGTTGCCCCCCTGGAATTGAATGAAACTTGCCACATAGGTAGATATGGGTGTCTCACAGAAACAGCCAAATTTTTAGGTCCATATTTTACTCTGTCGATAGCGCCACCTGGAAGCCACTTAGGTGGCTCAGTTTTGCTGTTGACACCACATTTTACATCAACTATCATGACTTAAGGGTACACAGTACCAAATATGTTATACTTCTATCATGACCTGTGACACTTCAAGTCCGGTTAGCTTTCAGCACCACATCAACGCCAAGCTGGGTAACTACGTTATCGAGCCAGAATTATTTGAGAAATAAGAATAAAAATTGAAAATGGGAATGGGAATAAAATATTACCCCAGACATATACCAAAGTAGAATGCTTTATTATGTGTTTACACACAACAAGACTATCATTTTCAGTGAATAGTACTTTGGTATCTTGCTGTGTTTGTGCAATGGATGGCCAGAAAGATGGTTGAAATTCATTTTTGGTGCATGTTTGCGGTATATTTTCTCTGTAACCCAGATTTGTACTGTGAGGGTAAATGCTGTTTGTTGTGCTTTTGGAGCTCTATTTTCAGGAATACCAAGCATTTCTTTGGTAGTATCTACACTTTCAAGCTAGACGGAGCCAAAGTTGGAGGAAAACTCAAAATGGTCTATTTCATAGCAGATTGTGCCTATGTTTAGGTGGCATTATTTTGTTTACCCAGCAAGATAGAGATCTGAAATTCTCTGGATACATACTACCTTTGGGGTACATTACAACATTAGTAAAATATCAATGGTAGTATTTTTAGTGTAGATGATTTTAAACATCAAAGGTCGGAAAAATTCACCTCCAGGGGGCACTGTACGCTGGATGCAAGCACTGGCCATCCCCAGCGAAGTACCAAAGAAATTATTTTTGAATTGTGATGCACACAGCTAGTTTTCTCTGAATATGAGGGGTTTAGCTTGGTACTATGCTGGGTAGATAGCTATCTGACCAAAGGTGGTGCTCTAAAGCAGGGGTTCTCAACTGGTCTCACATTGGGACCCACATTTTCTCATGGTCATTATGTCGCAACCCACTTTTATAGAATCGAAACCAAGCAAATATATTTTTCAAAAACATCCTTTGAAAACACATACACAATCTTTTTAAACATAGATACACATTTATTTATATGTGCAAAGTGCATTTCAGAGCACATTAAGAAAATGAGGAAAATGAAAATTGCATTAGTGAATAAAATGCAATAAAATACCAAAACTGCACAAAATAAATAAGGCCACAAAACTAAATATTTCACATGTATGAATCTCTCTGCATTCAGAGCACAAACTGAGGAGGAACATGACAACTGCATGTATGAAAGTGAATTAAATAAAATTATCAAAACAGCACAACATAAGGCCACAAAACTAAATATTTCGCATTTATGAATCGCTCAGCGTATATACGCTCAGCGTATTACTGCCCACCACAGGCCAGATGTATTATGATACATCTCGAATACGCAAAAAACCCCCTCCATCTCACACAAACTCACGCTTCAAGTTCAAACTCCTATCGTCACTTGTGAGCTCAACTCTCCTCGCCTCTTCCTCTTCCGCTTAACTCCCCCTCGACTCTCCAGAACCTCAACACAACACTTAAAGTGAACGGCAATCAAATGATGATTCTCCATGGCTCTAGAGTCAGACGAGCATTAAACATTATTCACCTCTGCCAAGGAGGTGTATGTTTTTGCCGGCGTTGGTTGATTTGTTTGCTTGTCTGTTAGCAGGATATCTCAAAAATGGCCGCATAGATTTTAACCAAACTTTGCAGGATGTTAGAGTAGCACAAGAGGAAGAAGTGATTAAATAGCATATCTAGGCCAAAGTACAGCTGAGATGTACGCCAAAGTGCAAGATTTCAAGTCTTTCCAATGGGCCGGATTTTCAATCGCCATGCTTTTGGGTTTTGCTGCCACCTGGTGGTGAAATGCAGCAATACCCTACATCAGCCAGCAAAAGTAACTCATGCACAGAGTTGCCTTGGCATGGCGGAGGTGCTGCGCTCTCTGAGTGCTATTGCTAATTTATTTTTTAACCAGCTGTCCGCGACCCTCTCAGAACGGGTCCACGACCCACTTTTGGGTCGCGACCCACCGGTTGAGAACCACTGCTCTAAAGAACTAATGTTCTTCCGACCTAACATTCTATATTCCCAGACATATACCAAAGTTCTGTCTTTTGACATATATAAAGTACATGCACAGTTATACATACAATTTGTAATCTCTATGGTATAAAGCGGGGTTGGTTGTAAATTGGAAAAGAATGTTGGTGGTGATTGTAGCATTGTGTCAACATGCAAGACTATTACCAGTAGTCAGTACAGTGTACAGTTTTGTAGTGTTGGTTAGTTTCAGAAAATAACAAATTCTCAGCATTTTTGCATTACTATTAGAATCGGAGAGCAGGCTTCAGTGTTAAGTCCAGGATTTCCCAAGGGTATGGTGCTTGGGTATTCAAAAGGGCACAGCAGTCGCGTCTAGCGAGTGATTGTCCTGATAAAGGGCACAGAGGTCTTCGCAAGCAAGCAGCACCCTGCCAAGAAAAGGGCAGTTCATTTGTAGCGGTAACTTGCAGGCCTTCATTCCTAACACCTGCTCATGATGTCTAGCCTACGAGATGCCCGATGGTTGGGAGGGTGGGGTTTCTTTTACAGACTTCCTATTTCCGTGCGTACCAAGCCATGGGTGTTGACGCAACTATTGCGCCATATAGGCTGCAGCCCGCTATTCAATTCAGAGACAGACAAGCTCACTATCAATGGCCTGTAAGCAGCCCTGTAGAGACCCAGGATGCAGTGTAGTAGGGCTTGCCTCGGGCTCGACTGGCTCCGTGGGTAACATTGTGACCCGGATCCAACGAAGAAGGCCATGGATGGCTGCTCAAGGCCAAGGCCAAAGAGCACCTCTGGTGCGCACCACCAGGTGCTGCCAACCCACAATCGAATTCCAAAAACAGATTGACGGATAGAGCTAGTCACATGCTGTGTTGACATCATTTCGCTTTGGATTACATGAAAAGTATAAAACTGTTTTAACTTTTGTACTAGACATTCTGTCTTCATGTACACGGTTGTGTGACGAAGATTTTCTTTAGATTATGGACTTTTATTTTATGTAAGTGTACATATACTGTTGACGCATGTCTGCGTACTTACGGTGGTACGCCTTTTACATTAGTTCTTTTATTGGCATTTAAAAATTTTGGACTGGTCATGTTTTATAACGTGCTGTACGTTTCTGACTGCGCTGTACCCGTACTTGGTAATAACCCATGTATTGTACGTTTGTAATGCTCACAGTCACCACCAGTTTACAACCAAACAAGCTTTATGCCAAAGGGATTACAAATTTTATGTATAACTGTGTATGTGCTTCATATATTTCAAAAGACAGAACTTTGGTATATGTCTGGGAATATGGAAAGTTAGGTCGGTGGAACATTAGCTCTTTAGAGCGCCACCTTTAGTCAGAAAGCTATCTACCCAGCATAGTACCAAACCAAGCTTTTCACTTTCTGAGAAAACTAGCTGTGCGTATCACAATTCAAAAAAATTTCTTTGGTACATTGCTGGGGATGGCCAGCACTGAAATCCAGCCTACAGTGCCCCCTAGAGGCAAATTTTTCTGACTTTTGATGTTTAAAATGATCTACACTGAAAATACTACCATTGAGATTTTACTGATGCTGTAATGTACCCCAAAGGTACTATGTATCCAGAGAATTTCAGATCTCTATCTTGCTGGGTAAATAAAATAATGCCACCTAAACATAGGCACAATCTGCTATGAAATAGTCCATTTTGAGTTTTCCTCCAACTTTGTCTCTGTCTAGCTTGAAAGTGTACCACCAAAGAAATTCTTGATATTCCTGGTGCAGTGGTTAGCACTGTTGCCTGTTGCACAGCAAGAAGGTCGTGGGTTCGAATCCGGCCTGGGGCCTTTCTGTGTGGAGTTTGCATGTTCTCCCCGTGTTCGCGTGGGTTTTCTCCGGGTACTCCGGTTTCCCCCACCCACAAAAACATGCATCATAGGAACACTGCAACCAGTACCCATGACCAAGGAACTGGCTTTAGAACTGGAGTTGGTCCCCGGGCGCTGTTCTGTGGCTGCCCACTGCTCCTAACTATAGGATGGGTCAAATGCAGAGGACAAATTACCCCACGGGGTTCAATAAAGTGTATCTCTATCTATCTAACATATCTGGGTTACTGAGAAAATATACCGCAAACATGCGCCAAAATCAATTTTGACCATCTTTCTGGCCATCCATTGCACCAACCCAGCAAGATACCAAGGGAATATTAACTGAAAATGATAGTTTTGTTGTGAGTAAACACATAATAAAGCATTCTTGATTGGTATATGTCTGGGATATTATTTTATTCCCATTCCCATTTTCACTTTTTACTGTGATTTCTCAAATAATTCCGGCTCAATAACATAGTTACCCAGCTTGGCGCTGATGTGGTGCTAATGTCTATGCAGACTTGAAGTGTCACAGGTCATGATAAAAGTATAACACATCTGGTACTGTGTACCCTTAAGTCATAATAATTGATGTAAAATATGGTGTCAAAAGCAAAACTGAGCCACTTCAGTGGCTTCCAGATGGCCCCACCGGCAGACTTCTTGAGATACGGCAGTGGCGGGCGGTGGATGGAAAACTGGTGGGGCAGAAAACATCCCTTGAAACGGATGAGATTAGGGACCCGATTTCAATCATTGTTCTGGGTCAACAAGTTAGTTTCCCTTATAATGAAATGTTTAGGCGAGTGAATAATAAATTCTATTAAATGTTTAATTCACATGCCTTAATAGGCAACTCTTCACGAAAAAAACACTGTGGATTGTCCGCGTTAAATTTTGTCACATCCTAAGCAAGTCGTCAAACCTGTGCGTAATGATTGTTTAATTGAAAAAGATTGAAATGCGCTCTTTTTTGCGTTCAACTGGTGCGTTTGATTTCTCGTCTTAACGAAGACAATTAGCTACACCTTAGAGGGGAGAGTTCAAGTGTCTTTTACCAGGGAAATTGACTGAAAACGGATCAAGACTAATAAGCAGTTTAAAGACATGTTTATCGCCCTCCTTGTTCTCTGTCCACCACCCGCCACTGAGATACGGACCTAAAAATTTGGCTGTTTCTGTGAGACTACCAGATCTACCTATCTGCCAAGTTTCATTCAATTCCAGGGGGGTCAACTCCTCAACTTCTTCAAAAAGTGCCATTTTCTCACGGAATGGCTCTTAATTGTTACATCTACCCCGTGCTGATGTATGGAGGTGAAGCATGGTCAATAACATCAGACATGAGAAAGCGTTTGGAGAGCTGTGAAATGTTGTTCCTTAGACGAATGATGAGGATTCCATGGACGGACAGAGTGACCAATGAAGAGGTTCTGAAAAGAGCTGGAGTAGAGAGAAAGATGATCTGTGAGATAAGAATCAAGCAAATGAGTTTCTTAGGGCATGCAATTAGAAAAGACGGTCTGGAAAATCTGGCATTGACAGGAAAGATAGATGGAAAGAGGGAAGAGGAAGGAAAAGGATGAATTGGATGACCAGTCTAAATACATGGATCCCAGGGAGAGGTATAAATCATCAAGAAGTGAAGTTGATTCAGAAGGCTAAAAACAGAGGTTTGTGGCGTACCATGATCACCTACGTCTCCGGATATGGCACTTAGAGAGAGAGAGAAGCCGATTTACCGCAGATCGTAGTACAGTAGCAGCATCGGCCGAGATTAGCCAGTTGCAATCAAAACTCAATTTTAACGATAAAACCATTAGGCTATATTTCACTCTTCTCCCACAGTAGAGTAGCTAGCCTTCTGCCTAAAATTATGTCTCTATCTGCTGAAAAAAAAAGCGCCACGATCTACTGATATAATCGACTGAAAAGAGTTACGAGAATCCATTAACGTAACATAATTACGAGAATGACTTTTAGTAAAACCCAATGAATATAAAATAATAACTCAAATTGTGTTAGCTTATCATAATGTTCTGAATAAGTTTATTTATGTAGGCTATTTATTTAAAAAAAAATAGTTGGCAAGTTATTATTAGTAACGTTAATGAATTCTAATCACACGTTTTCCAGCTTAGATTACATCAGTATAGGCGCTTCTTTTTACCCAAAAGAAAAATGTTTTAGGCAGGAGGCCAAGACTACGCCTATACTCTGTCAGAAGGGAAAAATGTATTCAAGTCTAATGATTGTACAGTTGAAATTGTCTCTTACAGGGCCGGCGCCAGAATGATCTCACTCCTGTGCGATCTAACGGCGACAATATAATGGGCTACATTCTGTACAGAAATATAATTCAATTATAATTAGGTCTATGCACTGTCACTCAAGGACGGCATCTTTTTTCCAGCCAGAGCGACATTTCAGAATTCCTCTGCGAATGAAGGTAATTTCGGTGACAAGTATGTGGTGTCCTGTCCTCCATTCATGTTTTCCAATCAGACAGCTGTTCCAATCGGACAGCTGACAGCGCAGTAAAAAGCGGTGAGCTTTATATTGTCAGGCCACATTGATTGTTACTTGCTTATTTTACTGGCTGCAAATATTTTGAACAATTAGACCCACATTCATAATGATTTAATTATCCAAATAGCGGCCAAATAAATGATTTGGCCAACAGTTATGCTGAGGGTTAGGCAGGCATTTACAATGTAATTGCAGTATTCCGAGAATGGACTGTACAGTCAGTGGTTCCGAGACCGTACCTCGGTGCAAGGACAGTAAAGACCGCAAATTTCACCGTCTCGAGACACTCCAGACCAGTGGTCCGGACCAGCCCCCTAGTGGAGCAGGACAGTTACTGCAGTGGTCCGTGTTACAGGACAGTGGTCCAGACCAGCCCCTAGTGGAGCAGGACAGTTGCTGCAGTGGTCCGTGCTCTACAGGACAGTGGTCCAGACCAGCCCCCTAGTGGAGCAGGACAGCTACTGCAGTGGTCCGTGCTCCACAGGACAGTGGTCCAGACCAGCCCCCTAGTGGAGCAGGACAGTTCAGTGGTCTGTGTTGCAGGATAGTACAGTACACAAAATGTTACAGCCCCTGCTGGGATGCTGGTAACAACCCAAGTAATCCACACTTATGAAGAAATCAAGACAAATAAGTCCATAAATTAAGTTATATGTAATAAAGTGGAATGACACAGGGAATAAGTTTTGCACACATGAAGAAAAGGAGGTGCAAAAAGGCATGGAAAGCCAAGAAACCAGCTGAAATCTGTCAGTATTTAGAAAGCAATCCTGCCCCCCTATCAGTGCAAATTAATATCAGCTGGTTTTGTCCTAATTGATGGCCTATAAAAAGTTTCTCATTACCGAGGTGTCACACTGGAAGCATCTCATGATGGGTAAAAGCAAAGAGCTCTCTCAAGACCGTCGCAACCTTATTGTTGCAAAACATAATGGCATTGGTTACAGACATATTTCTAAGCTTCTGAATGTTCCAGTGAGCACCGTTGGGGCCATAATCCGGAAGTGGAAAGAACATCATTTCACCATAAACCGGCCATGACCAGGTGCTCCTTGCAAGATTTCTGATAGAGGAGTCAAAATAATAATCAGAAGAGTTGTCCAGAGACCTGGAATTAGCAGGTACGGTTGTTTCAAAGAAAACAATAAGTAATGCACTCAACCGCCATGGCCTTTATGCACAATCACCGTGCAAGACCCCATTGCCAGTGGCGCAAGACCCCCTGGCAAACTGGTGATAGGGGAGGCTCAAAAAAATCCCTTAAAATTAATGACTGGTCATGGCCCGTTTTCAATCATTCATTTAAATCACCATTACAGAAACTCCGATAACTCTCAACATTATCAGATGTGGCCACTTTTCATTTGTAACGCATGCCGATTACGACTCCGGACTTCTCACACTTTTCTTTATTCAGGGATTGGAAGCAATGCATGTGTTTAATGATCTTTTAAATGAAATAAGATAATTTGAAACGTGTTTATGCAATTCCTTTACTTCCAGCCCCTCCAGTGCACAAGGACTTCAATTCCGTGCGAGAATCTCTTACATACGCATTGATTGAATAATTGCTGACTACAGCAGGTGAACGTAAATATGCCACTTAAACTCACGCTGAATGTGTGAGAGTTGACAGGTATGCGCTATTATTGAAAACTGGCCATATCTGATAATGTTGAGAGTGTTCGGAGTTTCTGTAATGGTAATTTAAATGACTGATTGAAAACAGGTCGTGACCAATCATTAATTTTAAGGGATCGTTTTGAGCCTCCCCTATCGCTTGTTCACCAGCAGCCACTGCCCATTGCTGAAGAGAAAGCATGTTGAAGCTCGTTTAAAGTTTGCTGCACAACATTTGGACAAGCCTATGAAATACTGGGAGAATGTAGTCTGGTCAGATGAGACCAAAATTGAACCCTATGGATGTCATAGCACACACCATGTTTGGAGGACAAACGGCACTGCACATCACCCCCAAAACACCATACCAACAGTGAAGTTTGGAGGTGGGAACATCATGGTGTGGGGCTGTTTTTTAACATACAGTATGGTACTGGCGGACTTCATATAATTGAGCCCCTAAGAGCCATACTGGGCCAACCCATGTTGGGGAACTTTTGAGAAAATGGGACTCAAAGTTGCCAGCTTCCTGCGTCATTTAGAGTACCTGGGAACTAGAAACACTGCTTCTGTTAAAAACTCAAGATATGTAAAGTTACGTAGTGCACTTCTTATGCAGGTTTTGGATGCCCTTCTGTTTCATTTAAAGTGAAACCTACCTCCTTCTGAAGAGGAACCATCATCTTCTGATTCATTTGGGTCAAACTCTGGGTCTCCATTATCTTCCACTTCACCATCATCATCAATCATAGCAAGCAATTCCTCATCAGTGAGATACCCAGCCGCCATGTTTACATTGAATTATGGAAAAGTTGTGGGATG